TTTCTTGGCTGCCATAACTTTGTAACACTCCTCAGCCGCTGGAGTAGCGAACTGTTTGCTGTGTGGAATCACAGAGCATTTCTTATACTCAGGGTACTTTCTGTCGCGACCCAGAACACTCTTCCGATTGGCTTCATAGCGAAGGAGAAACGGAGGAATCGGAGTCTCTGTGTCCTCAGAGAGACGAGACATTTCAGGTTTTGGATGTTTCTGTCTCAATTCCTTGGAGGTTCCGGCTAGAGGAATCCATGAATCTGACTCACCACTGCCCTCTACGGTGGTGACATGAGCTACTTTACCCTGAGTTCGAGTCCAAAGACGTTGGGTGATTGCCCCTTTAACCAACTCAGATTTAACAGTTACTGAGGATTTTGCTTTCTTGGTTTTACCCCCTTTGCCAGTAGGAGCAGGCCTCTTGTTCTTGGTGGGAGTAGGTTCTTCCACGATCTGTGATTCATCATCGGATGACATTGACATTGTTGACGAACAGAGAAATAATGAAAGAAAATATCAAGTCAAGAAAGAAAGATAGATGATGAAAAGAGGAGAGCAAACGAGAAAGATGATTTCTTTAAGTCAAGAGCAGAAACAAATTAGGATTGAAAAGAGCAAAAGTAACCCAAGATGTCTGGTGTAGACGGTTTTATGACTGGAAGGGGACAGTTGAGAGTATGCTTTTCTCGGTTTTGGCGAAATAAGATGCATAGTAACTGTAACTTATACTTATCCTCTGTATTGGTTAAAACTACTAGGCCGAGGCCCAGTAACTTAATTTTACTGAAAAACAAGACGGGCTAAAGAGTCATGAAGAATGAGATTATCAGACATACAACCACATTAGTAAGACAATACATAGCCGAAGCCACATTAGTGTTGAACACACACCTCACTCTTTTGACTCATACTACTTCCAATGAGAAAGACGATCACCCTATCAGAGTGAACTTACCAAAGCCTATAGTCATAACTACCTATGCATAAGGTTGAACAAGAATACGATAGGTACAACCCTACATTGTATCATAAGGGTCATGAGTTACCACACACGAGGATCAGAGTAGCAAGCGGAAGATATTTTGACAAATCATGTCAACCCACCAGTCCACTGTGGCAGCTGTTTCTCAGAGAGTAGATTTCACCTGCAGTGATTGACCCAGACTAGCTTTCACATTATCATTCAAGTTCAGACCCTTAAAGAAATGAAGAGTAGAAAAGAAATTAAGTATAAACTCCCAAACTCATATGTGTTTTGCACATTGAGACTAAGTGGTAAGGACAAAGGTTTTAAGACTTTTCTCCCCCTTTGTGCGAACCTTTCTTATGAACACAGAAGAGATTATGACTTTTCTCCTACTCTTCCGTTTATTAGATCATGGGACTTTTCTCCCTTTTTTTTGTTTGTTTTTGTTTCTTAAAAGGATCATGGGACTTTTCTCCCCCCCCCTTTTGTTTTATAAATATGAAACCCCCAGAGTTTGTGATAGATCACAGAGAGTGAATAGAGAGAAGAAATGACATAAGGAACACTGAAAGAGAATGATAAGTAGCTCTTTTCCTGAGACAACATACCGATAGGAGGTTTTAAGGGGTGATATAGAGCAGAGGAAAAAAACCAAATTGCTACCTCCAATCAACACGGATGGATCACCCTACCTGTTGAGACACAAATAGGATATTAGTGCTGAATGAGAACACGAGCACTGTGTTCATCAGAAGAATGGTTTCTAAATGTATTTTCAAGCCTTAAGTTCTTGACATAGTGTGTATTCCTAACGTCGCACTTCTCATTGTTGTATCATTGGTTTTCTACCTGTTTTGGGAGAAAGGTAAAGAACATATCATACCAGAGACGAGTGAGAGAAATGATTGGCTCGTTATGGTTTTTCTTGAGAACAGTGTTACAGACAATATTCAGTTGTTTGCTGTAGTGACACATGATTCTTTGATTTGAAGCAACTTGATATTATCTACCTTCTGTGCTTCTCCTGAATTTTACAATAGAGAAAGTATTCCTGTTAGTTAAAAACGTGCTGAATCGAGAATTCATACCTTGGGATTTCCTAGGTGACGATTGATGAATTTGAGTCCACGTTAAATTTAAGTTGAGGTTCTGTAACTCCCGGAGACTATCTGTTAACAAGTTGCCTGTGTTGCGTGTGGTATGACACTCTCTTGTTTCAGAATGGGTTTGTGCTGCATCAGACACCCTTTGTATTCCACTTTGAGACTCTTGCCATC